GTGATTATGTATCTATTCTTCTCCAGCAAGTGTCTACACACACAGTGCACCCAGTGTATCTCTCTCTCCTGTCTTGGTAAGCAAACCACTTGGAGCCACAATTCCCAATATGAAAATCTTAAAACTACACTGGGATTCTAATTCTCATTTTTAATCCCTTTGCACAGCACTCTTACTTCTGCCCTAATTCTGCCAGTGAGTATATCATTCTTTAAGCTTTTTCAAGTAAGCTCCAACACTATCAGACATCTCCCAGGTAAAGTCNACTATCAGACATATCCCAGGTAAATTAAAAAAACAAAAAACAAAAGGTAGAACAATAAAAATTGGAGAAATTTTTCACTTTTTCTGCTCGGAGGATTTTAACAGACCTTTCATGATTATCTCACTAAAGCTGACTGTCAGCTACATCTTTTATTACAGCTTTTTTGAAATGTAGAAAAAGAAAAACTCTCTATTTTTTAATATCTTACACCAAAAGTATTGTTCCCATTCCTTTTTCCATACTTTTCCCCACATTCACTACCTCCAAGACTATTTCTATCAGCCCACACTAACAGAAAAATGTAACAGATTGGTGGAAATGAAAAATGGGTCTGGTAGAAATGCTAAGGAATTTGAGTGTTTGGGGCATGAAGAACAGGCTTGCTTTAGTTCTTTGATGTTTGTTTCAAATTGTTGTGTTGCCCCAAATTATAAATTGCTTATAAGTAACTTAATGTGCAAAAGGAGGCACAGCTTAAGAATTTTTCACTTGACCAACTGAGCTTTCAAAAAACCCCCACAACAACCACCTCAAAAGGAAAAGTTTTAAGTAAACTGCTTAACCTTAACCTGGTATTCTTAAAAAACACCTTTGGCTCTAACAGTTGAAAACAACTCAGCCATATTCATGGTACATACAAAACAAAACAAAAAACCTGTAGGCTGAATGGAAATAGTTTAGCCAAGGAAAAACGTCTTGGATGTGCTTATTTAGCATCCGTTTCCCCCCCATTTCTTTGTGTTCTTGGTAAGGCCTGGTTAAGTTTCTCCCTGTTTCCAAGAGAAGTGGACCTGTGGTCAGACTTCTAAGCTGTTTACCCCTGACACCCAAACCAGCTATGGAAGCAGAGCCTGCCTGCCTGCATCCAGCGGGCGTCTACACTGGCACTGTGTGCACACCGGGCAGAACTGGGCTAAACCAAGAAGCAGTCCAAGCCCTGGGGACCTTGTCCTACAATAACAGAGGCACGGAATGCTGCCCCTGTCTCCTGGCTCTGCACCCTCACAGCGTGTCTTGCTTGTGGGCGCTAGTTAGTGCTGCCCCTGAAGACCCAGTAGGAGCAGCCTGAGGGAGGGCTGCCCCTCCGTGATCCACCCTTGGTCCACGGCGCCCCAAAAGCCACCCCAACTCCCCAGCCTGAGCATCTGCTAAGGGGTCCCCAGAGTGCCCGCCAGGGCAGGCCCAACCTCACAGAAGAGTCTAGCATAGTTTTCCGCATATTCCCCGAACCCCCAGACATGCAACCACAGTCTTTTAGGAGGAAAACTTGGGGACTCAAAGAGAGCC